ATCTCTTGATACAGTCTTTATTTTAAAGTCTAGATTGTCTGATGAAAGTATGGCTACTCCAGCTTTCTTTTGTTGACCACTAGCATGATAGCTGCTTCTCCATCCCCTTATTTTCAATCTGTAGGTGTCTTTAGGTCTAAAGTGGGTCTCTAGTATACAGCATATAGATGGGTCTTGTTTTCTTATCCATTCTGTTACGCTATGTCTTTTGATTGGAGCATTGAGCCCATTGACATTTAGAGTGAGTACTGAAAGTATGAATTTATTGCCATTATGATGCTTGTAAAGTTGGAGTTTCTGGTGGTGTTCTCTGGTCCTTTCTAATCTTTTGCTGCTGCTGCTGCTGCTGTGTGTGTGTGTGTGTGTGTGTGTGTGTGTGTGTGTATGTATGTATTTATTTTCATCTTTTCTCCCCCTCAGTGTGTCCCCCTTAAAATTTCTTGCAGGGTGGTTTAGTGGTCACAAACTCCTTTAATTTTTGTTTGTCTGGGAAAGTTTTTATCTCTCCTTCTATTTTGAATGACAGCCTTGCTGGATAAAGGATTCTTGGCTGCATGTTTCTGATTCAGCACACTGAATATAACCCGCCACTCCTTTCTGGCCTGCCAAGTTTCTGTGGATAGGTCTGCTGCAAACCTGATCTGTCTTCCCTTGTAGGTTAGGGACTTTTTTTCCCTTGCTGCTTTCATGATTCTCTCCTTGCTTATTTTGTGAATTTGACTACGATATGCCTTACTAATGGTCGGTTTTTGTTGAATCTAATGGGAGTCCTCTGTGCTTCCTGGATTTTGATGTCTGTGTCTTTCTCCAAGTTAGGAAAGTTTCCTGCTATTATTTGCTCACATAACCCTCTACCCCTTTTTCTCTCTCTTCCTCCTCTGGGACCCCTATGATTCTGATGTTGTTCCTTTTTAATGAGTCACTGATTTCTCTAATTCTTAAATCGTGCTCTTTTGTCTTAATTTCCCTCTTTTTTTCTGCTTCATTATTCTCTATAAGTTTGTTCTCTGTATCACTGATTCTCTGTTCTGCCTCATCCATCCTTGGTGCTGCTGCATCCATCCATGTTTGCAGGTCATTTATAGCATTTTTAATTTCATTCTGGCTATTTTTTTACTTATTTTATCTCTGCAGAAAGGGATTCTAATCTATTTTTGACTCCAGCTAGTATTCTTATTATGGTGATTCTAAATTCTGGTTCAGACATTTTGCTTGTGTCTGTGTTGGTTAAATCCCTGGCTGTTGTTTCTTTGTGCTCTTTCTTTTGGGGTGAATTCCTTCATTGTGTCATTTTGAAGGGAGAAAAGGAAGTAATGAGGCAGAAAAATTGAAATTAAAAAATTTAATATTAAAGAAATATTAAAATTAAAAAATTGAAAAAACACACACACAAAAATCGAATAAATGATACTAGATCCTAGGTGTGTTTGGTCTGGGTGTTGAAAGTGGTTTGATAGATTAGAGAAAAAAGGTGGGGGAGAAAAAAAGGAAATCGTTTGAGAAATTGAAAAATTGAATACACTGAAGTAGACTAAAATGAAATGTTGGGAGTAAAATAGAATGAAAAAATTTACATAAAAGTAAAAAAATATAGTGAAAAAATTAAAGAAAAATATTTTTAATAGAGATTGAAAATAAAATGAATTTTTTCTCTTTCTGTATTCAAGAGAAAGAAAAGAAATGAATAAGAGAAAAAAGAATAAGAAAAAAGGAAATCATTTGAAAATTGATAAAGTGAATACACTGAAGTAGAGTAAAATAAAGTGATGGAAATAAAATAGAATTTGAAAAAATTTACACAAAAGTAAAAAATATAGTAAAAAAGTTAAACAAAAATGTGTTTAATAAAAATTAAAAATGAATTTTTTCTCTTTCTGTATTCAAGAAAAAGAAAAGAAGTGAAAAAGAGAAAAAAAAAGGAAAGAAAATTGAATAGATGGACGTGCTAACAGACTGAAATAGGACTGAAATTACTTCGTTTTCTGCTAGAAGTCACACTATGAAGCACTTTATAGTCCACACACTAAGCAGGCGGTGAGACTTGTGTTCTTCAAGAGCAAGGTTGGCCCAGTTGGGCGGGGCTTAGTGTAATGGCCTCATTTTCCACTAAATGCCACTGCTAGCCTACTGGGGTGGAGTGTTGTGGCGCTCGTAGGTGCATATGCACATGCGTGGGAGCAGTGAAAATGGTGTCACCCCATTACCCAGTCTGTAGTATCAGAATTCTGTTCTCCCCAGTCAGTAATCATGCACCCATCCTCTGTCTTCAGCTTTGGTCCACTGCCTGCTTCTTTACTGTCCATGACCAAGCCCCAGGCAGTATCTCTCTCCAGAGTTTTATCTCAGATGCAGCTGTTTTCCCTGGCCCCTTACTTGTGAAAGACCTTGGCTTTGACCCATTCCACCCCTCTACAGGAGGGTCTCACCTCACAATGGCCGAATGTCAGCTGTACCCAGGAATACTTGCTGGACCCTGCTGCTGCCTGTGCCCCAAGACTGTGGCCAGGTGCCATCCTGCCTCAGAAAAAGTTCTCGAGATAGTGTAGCAGCAGCGTTTCAGAGATTATGGAAAATCACAATGCACATCAGGCACCAGGCTTCACCCTTAACCTTGTTCCAGCACCAGCCAATGTGGCCGTTTTCTGGGGTCTGCTGGGACCAGGTGGCCTCAACAGTTTCTACCAAATGTCCTTTTAGCAGTGGAACTGCTTTTCCTCATGTGGCCCAAGAACCTCCTGGACCCCACTCTGTTCCTGGGGATTCGCCCTTCCCACCAGAGCACCGCGAGGTATCAAGCTGTGGAGTTGCAGACTTTGTGCTCCCCTTGTTTACAGTCTTAATGGAATTTAAACCCTTTCCTTTCTCCTTTCTCCCTTTTTAGTTTAGTCCCTGGGGTTGTTTCCAATTTTCCACTTTCTCTCCAGCTGCTTTTGGAGAGGGGTGTTTTTCCTGTATTCTCCCCTCCGTCCCAGTCTCCATCCTCTCTCTGCCTGCAAAAGGGGTTCCCTACCTTTTGGGGCTTCTTGCTTTCCAAGTTCAGCTCTTTGTGTCATGTACCTGCTGAATTCTGTGGTTCAGGTTGTGCAGATTGTTGTGTTAATCTTCCAATCAGTTCTCTAGGTGTGTAAGATGGTTTAGTGTTGGTCTGGCTGTATTTCATAGACTAGAGACCCACAAAAATCTTCCATGTTGTTCCGTCATCTTGGCTCCTCTATTATTTTGTATTGAAGTATAGTTGATACACAATGTGACACTAGTTTCAGATGTCTGACATAGTGATTTGCCAACTGCATATGTATGTATATGTTATGCTATGCTCACCACACGTGTAGCTACCATCTGTCACCAAACAATGCTATTACAATTGGATCATGTGTTTTTACCCAAAGTCTGTCTTTTGATATGGGAGTTTCATGCATGTCCATTTGAAGTACTTACTGATGAGGAGAGACTTCTGTCATTTTTCTATTTGTTTTCTATATGCCTTGCAGCTTTTTTGTTCCTCACTTTCTGTATTACTGTTTCTTTTGTGTTTAGTTGATTCTTTGTTGTGAAAATTTTAAATCCCTTTGTCATTTCCTTTTGTGTATATTCTATAGCTATTTTTTTGCGTGTGTTATCTTGGGGATTTCATTTAACCTGCTAAATCTGTGTCATTCATTATAATTTATAGAAGTTCAAGTTTAATAACATTCAAAAATTCTGCTCCTGCAATGTGTTATTCATGGTCACCCTCTTGGGTTGTTGACATCACAAAAATATCTTTTTGTACATCGTGTGCCCCCAGACATAAACTTTCATTAATTTAAATGAATTAGTACATTAAATTATATAGAAAACTTGATTGGCATTACAAAGTTTAAGTAATACTTGTTTTTAAATCAATGATTTGTTTTAAAAAACGGACTAGTTTCTTTAATCATGTAGAAACCAAAAGTAGTTAAAAACTGTTGCTATAATACTGTTTATATTTTTCTATGCAGTTACCTTTATTAAAATATTTATTTTTCATTCACCTTTGAGTTAGTATCTGGTGTCCTTTTATTTTTTCCCTGGAGGACTCCCTTGAGCATTTCTCTCAGTGTGGGCCTAGTAGTAGCAAGTTTCCTTAGGTTTTGTTTATTTGGGAATGTTTTGATTTTCCCCTCACTTTTGAGGGACAGTGTTGCCAGATATAGAATTTTTTGGGGGGCCATTCTTTTATTTTACCACTTTGAATGTATTGGCCTGCTGACTTCTGGTCTCTAAAGTTTCTGATTAGAAATCTATTGATAATCTCATTGACAATCACTTGTATGTGATGAGTCACTTTTCTCTTGCTGCTTTTAATATTCTCTTTTTATCTTTCTAAATTTGATTATAATGTGTCTTGACTATGTGTCTGAGCCCATTTTTCTTGGAGTTGATGAGCTTGGATGTTTATATTCACATCTTTCATCCAATTTGGGAGATTTGGGAGATCATAGCTGAAATATTCTCTCTATCCCTTTCTTTCTTTCTTCTCCTTCTGAGCATCCACAGTGCATATGTTGGATCCTTAGGCTATGTTGTCTTGTTTTCAGTCTTAACTTTACTGCTCTCCAGCCTCTATCATTTCCATTATCTTCTCTTTAGGTTCACTGTTAATTTCTTTTGCCTCAAATCTGCCTTTGAATGCCTCTAGTGAAATTTTCATCACATTAGTTGTATTTTTCATTTCTAGAATTCATTTTTAGCTTCTTTTTTGATTTTCTATCCCTTTATTGACATTTTTATTTTGCACATTTTTTTTCCTCTACCTCCCCCACATCTTGCTTTAGTTCTCTGAGAATCTTTAAGGCAGTGATTTTAAAGACATTGTCTGGTATATCTACCATCAGGTTTTTCTCAAGAACAGTTTCTGTTGATTTATTATTTTCCTCTGAATAGGCTTTCGTTTTCAGCTTCTTGGTGTGTCTTGTGATTTTTGTAGAAGACTGAATATTTGAATCTAACCATGTGTTGAATCTGGAGATGAGACTTTCCTCCCTTCCCCAAGGTCTGCAAATTTTTGTTATTCGTTTTGTTTATTAATTTTTTTGATTGTTTTATCCTGCTGTTGTGGAAAAGATCAATATAAGATGTAGATTTCAATGTCCTCAGGTATTTTCTGGACCTTTTCCTGGTCATAAGTGGACATTTTCTTCTAATGTTCCTGGTTTATGTAGTTGTTTTCCAATGTTCTAGCCTTTAATATCTGTCTCGCATAAGGGAAAAACAGAAAAATGAGGGAGAAAAAAAGATCATCAGCCTTTTAAGATCCCTTGAAGTCCATTCAGCCAGAAGGGGGAGATGGTTGCAACAATAGGTGTAGGGATAGCAAAGACTTTGCTGCCTACTTCTTTGTCTGCACTTCTGTGATTAGAGCAGCAAGCAGCAATCAGAACCCAGATATGTGATATTTGGATTTTGTTTGTTTGTTTGTTTGTTTGTTTTGGTCCACTCTGGTTCTTGAAACCTCTGTGCATGCTGCTTTGTGAACACATGTATAGGTGCTTGCCATGTGATGGGGGCAGGGGATGGATAGTTGCTACTGTGATAAAAGCTGAAATAACTGAAATAGAGTAAAATTATCTGCAATTTACATTGAAAACCTGCCCTAGAAGTTACTGCAACTCTTCAAAATAGATACTCTAGACCGAGTCTTCTAGTTCAATTTTTATTTAATTAGGGGAGGCAGATTCCTGTTGCTCTACCATCTTCCCAGAAATTTTCCTACTATCTTTTGACCTTTTTTTTTTTTTTTACAAAATTATATATATACATATGATGTTGAATATGTGTGTGTGTGTATATAAAAGAGAATTTTCACCAGTTTCTGTTTGAATGTGTGTCCAGGAAAGCTTTTTATACATATGTGCTCAAAGTGGACCACAGGAGTACTTTCTTGACAGTGTCAGGGATGGAAAGTCCTCCACTGAACAAATAATTCTTCTTAGGAATCACCTGAGGTGCTGTAGCTTCTGCTTTGTGTAAGGCAGCAGCACATCCCTCTTTGTGAGCCTCTATGTGAATTTTTGTGTCTTGAATGAGTGTGTTCAATGAATCTCTACAAAAGTTGTCCACAATATAGTGTCATACACGTGCTCCTGGAGAAAGGTGAATGTGGTTAAGATCTTGCCAGCAAAGCTTATGAGCAAGGCTGTTGAGGTAGTCCATGAGAAGTCAGTACAAGTGATTTGTACCCTTCAAAGATGAAGGAGAAGAGAAACTGCAGCTGAGATCTTGTTGAAATAGGATCAGAACATATTAACAAATCTATGCTTGCAAAGTATCTATTACTACTTAGAGTCAGCAATTTCAATAATATTGGAGATGGGGAGCAGGCTTAATATGATGCATCATTGCAATAATGTTATAGTAATGTTCTGCAAGGTATCATAAATTATTTTCAGGTTTATGAATTAATCTAAATTAAGCTATTAAATGGAAAAGCAGTGTAGATAATCACTCCTTTGCTTAATAGATCTTTTATAATGGGATTTCATCCTTAAAGCCACTGTTTCAATATGTATTGGGTTGTATTTAAAGGTTAATATGTTGGACAGATCCAAACACGTCCTTTTTTGTCAAGCTGACTATAAGTGCCAGAACTCTAATATTATTTTAATTTATGACATGTTACATAAGACAACAATAACTATTAGTAGATGATGTAAAAGGTGGTTGCTATAACTATGGGATATTTTATCCCAGTAGTTAAGACAGGGCATGGAAATTTGTCCTGTATCTAATACTTTTGGCTCCTAGTAATACAGGAATATCTACATAAATATAGAAAATATAATCATTATATCTGTTATTTTTGCCCCAGTATTGATTAAGAACACTAATCTCACTAATCTTTGTCATTGTTTCATCTCATCCAATGTTAAAATTCATTTGGAAGTTCTGACAGAGAGGTACAAAAGCAACTTGTGCCCTTTATCAGTTGTAAATTTTTAAAAGTAATGTTAGATTCCCACAGGTATCAAAACAGAACTCTGTTTTCTTTCCTGACTCTCCCACCCTGCCCATCTCCTCTCTTTCCTCTTTCTTTTGGTTGTCATTAGATGTATTTTGGGGAAGTATCTGTTATAACCTGCCTATGTATGTATATACCTACATACATATGTATGTATATATATATATATATATATATATATAAGCTTCTTCTTCAGAATATCCCCATTAGTATCATCAAAGTTAGGGGTCTCCCCATGGATAATTTTGAGACATGTGAAATTAATTCGAACTAACTCCTTGAAATAACTCCATGGGCCTGTCATCAGTCTTTTTCTCTATTACTGTGTTAATCGAGATTTTCCTCTAGCTACAAGATAATCAGCAGCAGCAGAAAAGTCATTTTCTAAGGTTCTAGTGCACCATCTACTTTTGCAGGTATCGATCTCATCATACCACTTGGTAACTACCCTTCTTTACATCATTCAGTGCACTTGTAAATTGCTATCAGTTCTACTCTGGAGGACCATTCTTAAGGGGGCAATACCTGACTGCGACACACAGTCACAGAATTCTACCTAGCCTAGTGTCAATCACAGCTCATGCTGGAATCCAGAAACACAATCCAATCTGATACAGAAAATAGGTTTGTGTGAGACACATAATCAAGACCATGTAAAGACTAAACCCATACTTTTGTCTCTAAATGCCAATTGTGGAAGCTTCTGAGTGGGATGGAGGTGAGGATCCCCCTAACGTGGGTCTGGCTTGCTTGGCTTGAAAATCTTGGTCACACAAGGGAGGGCATGTTGAGTCTTTCCTCTAAGTTTTTCAGGATATGTCACGGAAGGTTAAGGGAGAGATGAAGCTTGAAAGCTGTCAGCAGTCTAACTTCAAAAATGGTGTTAGACTTTTTATTACACAGGAGTTATGGGGAAAATGCCAGGATGGTAAGTAGGGCTGCAGAAGACTGCAATTTTTAACTGCAATTTTTAATTTAGAAGACTAAATTTTTAATTTAGACATTGGTATTTTTTGGTAGAATGAAAAACCTCTGCATGTTTCACTTTTAATTTTAATGAAAATGATTTCTTTTTCTTTTTTTTTTTTAATTTTTTTTAACGTTTATTTATTTTTGAGACAGAGAGAGACACAGCATGAACGGGGGAGGGGCAGAGAGAGAGGGAGACACAGAACCAGAAGCAGGCTCTAGGCTCTGAGCCATCAGCCCAGAGCCCGATGCGGGGCTCGAACTCACAGACTGCGAGATCGTGACCTGAGCTGAAGTCGGCACTTAACCGACTGAGCCACCCAGGCGCCCCGAAAATGATTTCTTTTTCTAAGTGATAAATGACAGGGGAACGGGTATAAAATAAGGTCTGTATTTAAATATAAGGTATGCCATTCACTCTATGTGCAATCCTGACAAATTATCTGGCACTCCTTTCATCTCTGTTTTCCCACCTATAAAATGATGAATAGTTATACCTTTATGTGAAAACTTTAAATAGAATCTTGAAGTACTTTAAAATGAATAAAAGTATCTAAACCTATTAACAGGTTATCAATAAATATTGGCAGGTTGTGTGATTGAAGAAATGAGAAAGCAGAAAAAAACCATACAAAATAGAAGTTCAGTAAGGGAACATTTGAAAATATTTACAATAATTGGAATAAATAAACCATGATATCTTCATGTGAATGTTAATTTGGGTTGTATGGCATAATTAAAAATTTTCCTATTGGTGTTTTAGTTTTTATCCTCTTTTTTTAAGAAAAGGGTGAAACATCATATGAAGTTATCAGTTGGCTTCCACCTGAAGATCATAAAAAAGAATTCAAGAAATGTTTTGATTTCCTTGTGACAGAAGCTTTGCATGGCAGGTAATTTCTTTTATTCTCTGCTTGAAAGACTTACCGTTTTAGTGATTTAAATGAATGGTTGGATACATAGATACTTGGAGTCAGTTTAAGAGCAATGGATAGATGAATGGATAAATGGATAGATGGGGACATCAATGACAGGGGGCAGAGGATAAATGGAGTAGATGAATTTTTACTCACAATTATTCAGTCTGTGTAGTGTGCCTCTTCCACTGAAAGTAGGAATGCATTTCTGTGTATGAGGGGGATTGTTCCTTTTGGATCTTCCTGGCAACACTTCACCTACAGTGTTTGCATATTCTCCACCACACAGATGGTGGATAGACAATTTAATTTCTCATTGTTGGTATGCAAATGGGAGTCGCCATATTATACTTATTTTTCCTCCCACTTCCTCACATAAATTCAAGAATAGAAAAATGCTTATGAATATTGATTTCTTATACCTCAAACCAGTGTCTTTTAAACTCGTTTAAGAAACCAAATATCTTGGCGATACACAATGAGTGAGTAACCTGAGAGCTTTGCCATTACCTAGAATGTATAGAAAGTTCTTCATGTTTGACATCAGAGGGGAAGACACAAATTCATTCCTTACTTGCTTAATACAGTGGCTTAATGTCCATCCCCCTTCTTCCTTAGAAATTCTGTTTGCTAGTAGGTGGTCATAAAATATGGCTTTTTTATAAAGTCATTTTCCTTAGTCAAACTAGACTCCAAATTTTCTCATATATAAGAGATCTGATCTAAAGTACTGATTTGAAATTTTGTCTATATCATCTAATGTTGTTATTGATACATTTTTAAATTCTATATCTCATCTCTTCTTCCTTAAACTGATTACCTTGAAGGCCGTTTTTTTTTT